ATACCCTGAATAGCTGAAGCAATCTTACGTCAGAAGAATAAATATGGAAACATCACACTTCCTGATTTCAAATTATATTATAAAACTACTGTAATCAAAACAGTATGATGCTGGTTTAGAAACTTAAGAGACCAGTGGAACAGAACAGAAAGCCCAGAAATGAATCCATACATGTATGGACCAACAATTGTTCAACAAGGCCCCAAAGGATATTCAAAAAGGGTAGGTTTTTTTTTTTTTTTGATAAATGTCACTGGGAAGACTGGATATTGACCTGCAAAAAGTTAGATCCTTATCTTAGGTCATATACAAAACATAACTCAGAATGGATTAAACTTAAATGTAAAACCTGAACCATAAAACTGCTTGAAGAAAACAGGGGAAAAGTTCCATGAATTGACCTTGGCAATGATATTTTGGGTATGAACCAAGATAATAGACAACAAAAGCCAAAATAAATGAAACGACATCAAACTAAAAAATGTCCACATGACAATGGACAATTAACAAAATGAAATGGCAACCTATGGAATGAGAGCCCATATTTGCAAACCATCTGTCAGCTTTTTTGTGAGTGTGACCAAAATACCCAACAAGAACAACTTGGAGGAGGAAAGCTTTATTTTGGCTTGTGGGTTGAGAGGTTTAGTCTGTGGTTAGCCAACTCCATTGCCCTTGGCTCCAAGTGAGGTAGGACATTATGGCCGAAGGGCATGATAAAGGATCAGGGCTCCAATCGTGGAAGCCAGAAAGTGGGGGTCAGGGGAAGGAGCTGCAGAAGATGTCCTTTCAGGGCAACCCCCCAGTGACCCACCTTCTCCAGCCATGTCCCACCTGCCGACAGTTACCACCCAGTTAGTCCGTTCAGATGGACTGATTAGACGTCATAATCTAATCACTTCCCCTCCAAACTTTCCAGCATCCATACAGGAGCTTCTGGGGGACAGCTCATATCCAAGCCATAACATCAAATATACAGTAGGAGTTAATATCCAAAATAGAAGGAACTCATACAACAGCAAAATGACCTCCAAATAGCCCACTTAAACATGGGCAAAGGATCTGATGAGGATTTTTCAAAAGAAGTATATATAAATGGCCCATAGATATAGGAAAAGGTGTTTGATATGATCACTAATCTGAGAAATGCAAACCAAAACTATAATATCACCTTAGATTTGATAGGATGGTGCTATTGTTCAGATGTTGTATGTCTTCCAAGTCATCTTGGGTTGAAATTTAATCCCCATTGTGAGGTATTAATATGGTATTTAGAGATGGGAACTTCAGGGAAGTGATTATGATTAGATAAATTCATTAAGGTGGATCCCCCATAATTGACTGATGGCTTTATGAGAGAGAGTGAGAGAAAGAGAGAATTCTTTTTTTTAATGTTTATTTTTATTAGTATTTGGCAGACACAACATCTTTGTTTGTATGTGGTGCTGAGGATCGAACCCGGGCCACACGCATGCTAGGCAAGCGCACTACCGCTTGAGCCACATCCCCAGCCCTACACAGTAATTTTCAACAAAGCAAACTAAATGTCATATACACTTTTTGGGGGGTGGTAGTCCCTGTGAAATCTACAAAGACTGACTAAAAATCAGATGAATATTTAAAACTATTCAATGAGAGATAGAAACCTTCTAAAACTGAAATATTTGTAATGGTTACAGAATTCACTAACTAAATATCACCAAACTGCACATTTAAAATGAGTCAAATTCATACACCTCATTAAATTTTTTAAAAACCCACAGAAAGTATGAAAGAAGTTAAGTAGGAGCTAGGGTAAGCAGCAAATGAGGTATGACTGCTTAACAGAAACAGGGTTTCTGTTTGGAAAATGAAAAAGTTCTGGAAATAGGCAGTAGTGATGGTTGCGTGACACTTTAAATGTACTTAATGTCACTGAATTGTACACTTAAAAATGATTAAAATGCTAAGTTTTATGTTATGTAGGTCTTACCATAATTGTTACAAAAGTGAAATTGGCTTTAGAGATGTTAAGTTTAGTACCTGTGAGACATGTATAGAAGAGCCTAAACCTTATGAGGACAAAACTGGAGAATGTACTCAACTATGTACAATTTTGAATTTTGGGGTCTAACCTGGTAACTAAAATGTAGTGTTAATAAATACAAAAAGAAAAAAAAAGAACTTTCATAAAAACCCTGAAAATTTCAATTTCATCATTAAAAATTCAAATTCATCATTAGCTGACTATTCATGATTCATTTGGCTGATTTGTGAAGTGCCCTATTATTAAGTAAGCTACCATTTATCTCTTCATTCTGTAGACTTCTCAGTATTTCATATTTGCAAAAAAAAGAGAACTCTCTATGCCTTGGTCTGTTTTACATTAATAAATATCACAATAAATCAGAACTTCCAGTCCTCTCTCCTCGTGGGTAAGAGGTGATACTCACCCGAATAGTTACAGTATGATTGGCAGATGGCCTCAAGAGAGGTAGCCGAATTCCACACTGAGGCATCCTTCTCATCTCCTCAATAGGAGTTCCAAGCCACTTCTTATCTGGAGAAAGGTGAGGTGGAACGTATTTAAGGATCTTCCTTTCTGTTCTCTGATGTTTGACTTCACACTGTTCTTTTCTAGGGACAAGACAAACGTATGCAGCCACAAATTATTTATTGTTCCCCTGAATACAAAAGTACAAAATTTTAGCCAGAATGTTATTGTTTAAAGTGCATTAACCTTGCTCTAGCACTTCAGTTTGTTTTACACTTGCAAGGCAACAGAAAACCTTATAAAGCTTATATTAAAATTCCTTCCTCAGACAGATAAATCATCTTCTAAAAACAGAAATGAGCCATGGTTCATAGTATTAGCCACTTCTCATCTTTACACAGTAATTTTCAACAAAGCGAACTTAATGTCATATGCTAGAAAATTGAGATCATATAAAATCATTGGGCAGATTTTAAAATTCAATATGGAATAGTGACAAAAATATAAGCTTTATAATCAGACATGCATGGAATTAAATCCCACTACCACCACTCAGATTACATGATTTCAGTGACTTTTCTAATGCAAATCAGGTTTCTCATTTACAAAGCGAGTACAATAATTTCTGCCTGTCAGAACATTAGAGAAAGTGTAATATATAATGGCCTAGAAAAATGGCTAACAGTCACCACTATCAATCTAATATTTTCATGTTCTAATAATTCCCATATATTCCATAAAGAAATTCATGAAAATAAAAATCTGACTGCCAACATTTATTATATCTTATTTTCTATTTCTTGCCATTTTAAAATTTAGAGTCTAGGATTAAATTTAGCATGAATATTTAATAAGAAACACAACCATTACTTTATTCTACTATAAATCTTGACTTTGTTAAACTCCCTTATGAAATTTTAAAACATATACTATTAGAAAGATGCTCCTTATGGGGAAAAAAGAATTACCTTCTATCTTCTGCTTTAGGCATTCTCATAAAATGATCAGTGATTTTAGAATCCTTTTTTCCATGCTGCTTGGAATTTTTGCATTCTACATTAAGGCTAGAAGTATTTCCAGGTGGCCTGGTATTTAAATCACTCATCCCAGTGCGATTCTCTCCTCCTTCAAATTGAAAATGTAATCTAATTTCACCTCCCTTATTAGAGTGCCGTTTCCTAAGTTCACTGTCAGCTTCTCTTGCTTGGAACCTTGAAGGTTTATTTGTTGTTTGGGAGGAACTACCATCTTCTTGTTCATCAAAACCTGGACTTGTCTCTTCATCTGCTTCTGAGTCTTGACAACTATTTTTGGAATTATCTACATCCATCGGTGACTCCGGTTCGCTCTCCTTCTCAAATGGAGAATTTCCTAGGCTACTTTCTTTTCTACTCAACTCGCTGTCATTTTTGGGTCCAGTTCCAACATCTTCAGAGCCGACATCTGACAATGGGCTCTCTGGTACCACATCTATCTCCTCCTGCTGACAACCTGCTGAGTCTTCTACAGGATGGCAAGTCTTGCTACACTTCTGGTGGTTTCTGGCATCTCTGGCCTGCTCATCTTCTAAAGTCTGTTTTGCATTTGCAAGCTTTGCAGGTGTCAGAAATTGTTGATTATCTCTATCTTCTTCACTATCTGTGTCACTGTGATCATCAGTTTGGGGTGACTGATTGATGTTAGCATTACTATACTGCTCTGGTACCAGAGTCACTGTTGAAGGTTCACTTCCCAAAAGCTGCTCTGTGTGTTTCCCTTCATTTTGCCACTTAACCAGAGTTGCAGTCTGATGTTGGTTCAAATATTGAGTGCTTTTTTCAATGGGTGATTTATCATGACTTAGCTGAGAAACATTTTCTAATTTTTCCACATTATGTTGGTAAAAGTTATCTTTTTGTATAGAACTCATCATGGATTCTATCCTTGTATTGTTATTTTCTTTACTACACAAACTGTAAGAGAACAGAAAGAACTAAATTGAATTTATGATACAAAAAGTTTCCTAACCAACCACATCCCTACAATGTCATATCCATAAGTATATTTGTGAATACATGAACACACAGCATGTTCTTTCATTACTGTTTGTACATGTGCCTATAATTCCCTTCCCCAGCTGTGTGCTTGACAAACACCTATCCTTTCTTCAAATCATAAACTTCACTCACCTTCTTATGTAGTTGTCCCTCAAGGCTTAAGCATAAAGCTGATTCTTTTTTTATTTCTTCTCTATATTAACCACCACTCATATCTTTTCTTGCTCATACATTTACTGTGGCATTTCTCACATGAGTCAGCATTACATGTTTTTGTGTCTGTAACTACCATTACAAAATAAGTATTTTAAAGGAAGGGACTAAGGGCTGGGGTTGTAGCTCAGCAGAGCACTTGCCTCACATATGTGAAACACTGGGTTCAATTCTTAGCAACACAAATAAATAAATGAATAAAATAAAGGTCCACCAACAAAAATATTTTTTAATAAATAAAGTAAGTAAGGGACTATTCCTTTTTTGGGTTGTATTGTAGGTGAATAAAAAATGTTATCATAAATAAGAGAAATAAGAGAAAATATGAAGCATGATAAAACCCCACACTATATAATTCATTTCTCCATATAAGCATGTCTCTATACCTTTCTGATTCAGCTGTCTTGATTCCTTTAGCGTCCATCCAACTGGTAATAGTCTTTTGTTTGAAAACTTTAAGAAAGAAAAAAAAAGTACAAAATTAATGTACAGCCATACCTTCCTTCAAATAGAAAAAATATACAGCCTATTATATTTATAAAACATATATTTTTAAAAATATACATATGGCATTTTTTTAGGTTCTATGAGCTAAACAAAGATCTTCTTTCACCCTCAAGTATTAAGAGAGAAGTTATGGACAAACATACTAATATTAACGGCAAAGGATAGAAAGTGACTGGCCCCAAAAAGAGTTGGTATGGCTCAATGTGTAAGAATATAGGCTCTGGAATCAGAAAATCTGGATTCAGATGCTGATTCTCCCACTGTTTTCCTGTGCAATCTTGTGAAGGACAATTTCTCTTTGTCTCAAATTGGCTATAAAACATACTAGCAGTGTTTTTCATGGTGTTAATGTGAGGTTTAAATAAACTAATAATAATCTATGTAAAGCGATTAGGTGCCACTCAGTATATGCCCAGTAAACGTTAGTTCTAAATTATCATTTTTATTATTAATACTTCTTTTGGTACTAGGGATTAAACATAGGAGTGTTTTAACACTGAGCCACATCTTCAGTCCTCTTTATTTTTTATTTGGAGACACAGACTCACTAAGGTTGCTAAGGCTGGCCTTAAACTTGCAATCCTCCTGTCTGTCTCCAAGTAGTTGGAATTATAGGTGTATACCATCATGCCTGGCAATTATCTTTATTATTTAAAATGGTTTTAATTAAGAAGCTATTTCCAGGAAAAAGACTACAGCAAGAAATAGGAGTAAGTAGGATAATTGTTAATCTCTGGAAAGAGCTAATACTTAAATTCTGCCTTTAAGAAAAAGCATGAATTCACAAAAAGTAAAAAATCATAAGCAAAGGCACCAATGGCAGGAAAAAAAAAAAAAAACAACACACAATAGAGTCGAAAAGTCAGCTAAGACAGTATCACCGAAGACCATACTCACAAAGAGAAGTATAAGAAAGTGCTAAAAGTCACACTGTGATTCCAAAATTCAAATCTAAGAAGCTCACAGCCAGCCTGAAGGACAAATACACAGGCAAAAAGGCAGAGCCTACTGACAAAAAACAGTGAGAAAGTTCCTGGTGTAGGTCAGTAGTTCTCAAATCAGGAGGCTAGCAATAAATGGATCCAAGGGCCACATCCTACTAAACCTACTGAATCAGAATCTGTATATGAGTATGATGGAGGCTGAGGGGAATCTGTAATTGTTTCAAAAAGTGATTTTGATGATCAACTAGACTGAAGAATTAGTGGCCAAGGAGCAAAACAAATCTCAGTAAGAGTGGTAAAATGTAGGAGAATCATTACAGACTTCATAATGTGAGAGAAATTAAATGTGGCACTAAACTCTAAGCTTGAAAGGATTGAAAGATTGTGACAGCATTAAGTAGAAATGTGGATTATAAAATAATTGAGATTGGGGGGAAATATGATTAGGTCAATTCTGCACATACTAAATTTGAGGTACCAAGGAGATAACTTGATAGAAATGACCAGAAATCAATAGCTATTGATCAGATCAAGTACAAGAGATGCAATATCAATCAAAACAAGTAATATTTTATATAATCATTAGAAATAAGTGTGCTTATGGGAGTTCATAACCCACTTGAATCTAATATATGAAATATGATATGTCAAGAGCTTTGTAATGTTTTGAACAACCAATTAAAAAAAAAGAAATAAGTGTGCTTTCAAAATTTAACATACTATACATGGATTAAATGTATATAACATTTTAGTATAAAAAAATAAAACCTGAAGTATTCTCAACCACTTTCTAAACTGCACCTTAAATCAGACTCTTTCTTATTTTCATACATCTTCTCAAACACCATATAATATGAGCAAAACAGATGCAGGCTCAAATAACAAATATCACTGTTTATCACTGGGATAATGGCATAAGTTAAATACATTTGAGACTTAGGAAAAAATTCAAATTCAAGTATTCTAATGTCATACAATTTATACCTGCCATGAAAGTATCTGAGTACCATATTATACTTCCTACAAAATACTAATAGTTCAACTAGTAACAAATCATTATTTTTTAGTTTTATCATAAAAGTAATTATATGCAGTTAATATTCCTTGTTAAATACCACTACTTCGGTGATTTTATTTTGAATTTCTGCAGCATATTAAGCTTCAAAGAAAAATTAATTTTAGTAAGCAGAGTTAAGAGGATGATCCAGCCAGGCCCATTGGTACATGCCTTTTATCCCAGCAACTCAGGAGGCTAAAGCAGGAGGATTGCAAGTTCTAGGCCAGCCTCAGCAACTTAGTAAGATGCTCCCAAAAATAAATAAATAAAAAATAAAAAGGACTGGGATGTAGCTCGGTGGTAGAGCATCCGAGTTCGACCCTCAATCCAAAAAAAGGAATTTGATTCTGAGACTTTTTCTACAGTTCTCTCTTTTCTATTGAATTTCACTTTACAGGTTAAGCATCCCTGATCTGAAAATACAAAATGCTCTGAAATCTGAAACTTTCTGAGCATCAAGCACTGATTTTAGAGAATTTCAGATTTTGGATTTTGGATTAGGGGTGCTCAATCGCTAACCTCTATACAAATATTTTAAAATCTGAAAAACTCAAATCTGAACACTCCTGGTCCCAAGCATTTCAGATAAGGGACACTCAACCTATACCAAACACAGCAAGTACAGTTCAGAAAATCCTCAAATTGCAAACCAGCAGTGTACAAAGCATTCATTTTTGAGTCAGGTTAGGATTTAAAAAACTTTTTTTCCATAAATGTTACGGTTAAATATAAGGACTCATTGGCTAGGCTCCTCCACTACACATGGAGCCAGCACTGTACTGATAAGTCTACAGAACCTAAAGACTGCAAACTTTATTTCATGAAAAACCATGAGTTGTATACCAGTGAAGTTGAGAAAGAGAGCGAGGGCTCTCTCCTGTAGCCCTAACAAGGAGAATGTGTTTTCTTCTCTAGCTAGGGCTTCTGATTATGATTCCTGAAGTCTGAGAAAAGGATGAAGAAGGAAAAGCAAGAGATGAGGAATCAATATTTCTTGTTAACATTCCTCAGTCCTTGTTTGGTATCCAGAGAAAGGGCTTCCCTACTTTCTTTCCCATACCACCACTTTTGGCTTCCAAAGGTTTCTTTTCCAACATATCACAAGACTGTTTCAAAGCTCTCTCTCTCTTACTTCTGAAGTAAACATAAAATGATGATTCTCCAAATTCTGGGAAATTTCTTTCATTTAACTAGAAATAATCACAGCAACAAAAATAAATAAGGAAAAATTACATAATGTAAAATCAATCCTGGACTGAGACCTTTGTTCAGTCACTAGCATCACTATGCCAAGTTTTTTTCAGCTTCAAATTGAATTAACAACAACTACTTCCAAGGGTTATGTGAATCATTAAGATTACAAAAATTAGAGAAAATATTAAATGTCCAGCCTCACAACACAGATACACAAGAAATATATTTATTCTTAACACTTCCATTCAATCTTTTTTTTTTACTGAGATCAGTAGTTCTCCAACTTTATTATGAATTTGCACCATTCACATTTACTCTCATCAGTAACATCAATCAGTAACAAGTGTATTTCAATGACATTATTCAATAAGCACCTATAGATAGAAGCAAAAGGTACAAAATGCATTAAAATTCAGCTGCATTTCAAAGGAACACCCCACTTCCACAAAGTTTCCCATAGCAATGCAAGTACATAAATCACCCCCCAGAATGTGAACAGCAAGCTAACTTCTCTGCCTAAATATAGATTATCTGATTTCAATCAATATTAAGACATATCCAGGAAGAAAAATAATACTAAATATTAATTTTTCTACTCCACCTACTCCTTCTAGTATAAATAACTATGTACCAACTTCCTAAAAGAACCCTAAAATCCAAATGACATAAACTTAGAATTTCAATAATCTGTTAATTGGTGTTCTGTATATAGAAAACATCACACATGTGAAGAATTAATATGATTCTTCTTTTATAAAAACTCAAGATCCAAACAATAAAAAATGACTACCTTGGAGGATCAAAGTCAGCCTCAATAACTAGAAATGCACTAAGCAACTCGGTGAGACCCTGTTTCTAAATAAAATATAACAAAGGGCTGGGGATGTGGCTCAGTGGTCAAGTGCCCCTGAGTTCAATCCCTAGTACAAAAAAACAAATTAAAAAATGCATATATGAATGACTGCTCCAACTCCTACCAACAACTAATTCCTCCTTACCACGCAAATAAAGTTGACAGGACCACAAATTACCCAGTCACACAAGTCAAATATATTACCTGTTGTTCACCATCAGTTCTCCCTCCTCCATACCAAGTTCTCTGATATCTATATGCTAAATTTTAAGTCCATTCCTTCAATATGTTACTCATCGGGTGACTGTTATGTGTCTCCAACAACTTGTCTCCCTATTTACAGTCTTGACTTTCTCTAATCCAGTGTTTTATAAACTACAAAAAGGTAGCATATTTTAATGAAATACAAGAATGTATCATAAATAGTGAGGGTATTATTTTATGAAATTTTTTTTTCAGTTATAAATACAGCATATGTACCAGTTTATATGTATATTACTGTGTGCCAAATAATTTTATACTGTGTGGGTTGTAGTAAAAACAAAAGTCCAAAAGCCATTGTTTATATCACCTTTTCTAAAATATTAACAAAATGTCATTTCTCTGCTTAAAAGCTTATTCACAGACTCCCATTAACCACAGAATCAAGTTTAAATTCCTTAACATGGTACTCAAGTTTGAGTACTCAACAATCTCACCTGACAATGCTGTTATCCTTTAGAGTGTGCCGTTTCCTTTGCCTACATATTTTCTCTCCCCTTCATTTATATAGATAATCCTGCTCATCCTTCAGGACTTAAATCTGCTCCCCATTGCCTCCAAGTCCTAAGACACCAAGTGTACAGAAAACTGTCTGACCTTTGCCCAGCCTCTTAAAACTGTTGACTACTGCATTCTTTTTGAAACACTCTCTTCTTTGCATGACACTACAAGCTTGGTTTTCCTCCTACTTCTGTGACCATTTTTTTTTTCAGTCTTCCCTTAAAATGTTGGTGTTCCTAAGTGTTCTGTCCTTATTCACCTTTACATTTTCTATATATTTAAATGATATCTAAACGATTCACATAAGCTTCCATAGCCCTCTTTATTCCAAGAACTCTCAATTTCTCCACCACACATGTACTACTTCTGAGGAATATAAGTATCCCATTCTCTCCTGAATTCATCTACTTCTCCTTCTTTGCCGCCCATATCCAAGTGTAAGGCTAAAATATCTTCCCCCTAGAACACCTTAACTCTCTGGGCCTCCACTTGTGTTTCCAACCATTTTTTGTTTTCCACATGAACTATAGGGACCATTCAACAAACAATTCTAATCAAAGTACCTCGCCCCAGTGAAAATTCTGTAATAGCTCCTCATTGTCATTAAACTTCAAAATCTTTAGTAGTGTTTACTACATCCCAGTAAAGTATGATCTGATTTTCTCCAACTTGCTGCACCCCTTCTCTCACTACTCTCCCATTAACTCTCCACACTAGTTGCACTCCTGAAACACCTCCTTATTACCTCTTCATCTAGGAAACTGTATACAATTGTTAGTCTTCAAAGTAAGCATAGTGTCTTCTGGAGGACTGTTTTTGAGCCCATAAACAAGGTTAAGTACACCTGCCTTCTACCAAAACAATCTGTCCCTCACATATCAAAATATTCACTACCTTTTGTTATATGTATTATCTTGTCTATTGTCTATCTCTCCTGACAGATTTTAGGGTATGAAAGCAGAGAACAAGTTCCTTGTGTTCAACACTATGCCAGAGACAAGCACAACAGTAGCTAAGACTAGGGACTGGGGTTATAGCTCAGTGGTAGAGAGCTTACCTAGCATGCATGTTAGGCACAAGGTTTGATCCTCAGAATCACATAAAAATAAATAAATAAAATGAAGATACTGTGTCCATCAACAACTAAAAAAAAATATTTTTAAAAAAGTAATTGAAATTTTAAAAAAATTCAGTAGATGCCAAATTCTTATTCAAGGATTTTAAACTATTGAGTAAAAATTACATTTTTACATTATAAGCTTTTTTTAAAGCAATTACAGACATCTGAAAAGATGTGGCTGCATATAAGGACCTAGTGAAAAAACAAGTTAAAGCCAGTAATAATTCATTTAGCTAGTGAATCATAATGCCATAGAAACAACTATAAAATTAAGCTGTTTATTCTTGAGTTTTTTCCTCTCCTTGAAAAGAAGCAAAAAAACAGAAAATTAACTTTACAAAATAAATATTACAGCTTTTTGCATTTACAGAATTAGTTGCTGTTTAAAATAAATATAACTATCAGGGCCATATCAAAGTGTGTAATTGACTTATTTTCTTTATATTTGTTGTTATTAACTTTTGAATTATACTTGTCTTTCTAAACCCATACATTCCAATAAGATACTCCGTCGCCAATTAAAATTCTGCATTGTTTAATACATTTTTGGTAGCAAATGAGAGCAACTCAATTTGGACTGGCTAAGTAAATTGTAAAGTTAATTATGAATATATAAGTACATAAATAAAGCTGAGCCACAGGATCAACTAGGAAAAAAAAAGTAACTGAGACTAAAAAATCTGGACCCTGGGTCCCAGAATCCGAAGGAGGGAAGTTGCAACAGCTTTTTTTTTTTTTTTCCATCTACAGGCTGAAGCGTCCTACTGCTACTCAATTAGATGCCAATAAAGGCAATTCCTCCATCAAATCTGAGAAAAGAAAACAGGGGGTCTCTGGCCATTTTCCGCCCTGTAACTGTCCATCAAGATTTCTCACAACAAGAGGATCCAGGAAAAATGCGGCCCCCGCCTCCTCCACTGGTGGCATTGGTAGTTGAGCAAGCGAAGCTCGGAGTGATGCATATAAGACCAGGTTAGAGTGACAGGAGCCCCGGGTCCTCGGACTCAAAACAGAGAAGGTTTGGACCGAGGCAAAGGACAAAGATTTTTATTTCCCCACGTACCAAGCGAGGTGGCGCCGCCTCTGTGCGGTCCCGCCCGCCCAGGGACGCAGCCTGGAGAGGACGGTGGGACCCTGAACTGTACAGGAGCGTCCTTGGGGTCGAGAACGCGCCTTTGCCTGCCGGGGAAGCTCCGGGAATCCAAGGCAGCCGGTGGAGAAGTTGTAGCGGCGCCCCAGCGGGGTCGCTTGGTGCAGGGCTCACAGCCGGGGCCCGCACTCATGCTTGGGACCCACAGCGCACAGTCCCCGGGCCGGCCCGGGAGGAGACCTCATTCACTAACCCTGAGAGGGACGGACTGCGCCTCCTTCTCGGCGCCTCCCCGCACCATTCCCTCTCTGCCGCTGCCTGCTTCTGCAGTTGCTGGTTCGCCGTCGTTGGAGTCAAGCCCTATTGCAAAAGCTTGCCTTCCTTCTTTCCGCAGGTCTCTCAGCCTCAGATCGCTCTGCTTGGATTCCGACTCCGTTCACTTTCCCACCACCGGAAGTCTGCCGTCAGGTGCTCCCGATTTCCGGGGTGTACACAGCCGTAAAACGGAAGTGTGGTGCTTAACGGGAATCGACGCCCGGAAGGTCAGCGTGTGAAGGAGGCTGTGGTAACGCGGGTCTCCCCGCGCTTACGGTGAAGCAACCGCCGAGCGCTCGACCCCGGCTTGAGGCACGGTCGGAGACGAGACGGTAGTTTCCTGAGACACCATGGAAGGCGGCGGGGGAAGTGGTAACAAAACCACAGGGGGATTGGCGGGTTTTTTCGGAGCCGGTGGAGCAGGTTACTCGCATGCGGATTTAGCCGGCGTCCCGCGTAAGTATCGGGCCCAGTATGCGAACATTTCTGACTGCTTCCTGCGTCTGCACTTAACGTGAGCCATTCGGAAGCATCAGCACTGGTAGCGAGGTTAATGTGTCTGACCGGCTGCTCTTTCAAAGCTATTGTGAAATTGAGCTTTTGTGAACATTGTTTTGGGGGACTGTAGATCCCTGGGGAAGCTACCTGTGGTTGACCCGGATTTAAGGGATGATGCATGCTTTCTTCCGTTTATCTCTAGGTCTCTTTTTGTTATTATATGTATTCCTATATGTTGTCGTGAGTTAAGAGAAAAGCCCAGATTTTCTGGAAATAGCGTATTGCAAATAGCAAGCAATTAGTTAGCTTCTTGGCGAATTTTAAAAAAAAATAAAATTCCCAAGTAACTATTGGGGCCAAACACTCAATACGTGGAGTCGGGAAGTAAATATGAGTTGGAAAAAGTCAGGAAACCATCTAAATAAGCTGGAAAGTGAGCTATACTTTAAAGGTAACTTATAATACACTAAGGTATATATACTTACATGCTTCTCTGAATATAACTTCCCATTCTTGTGGTTGTACGTGATGTGAAGTTACACTGGTGGTGTATTCATATATGAACATAGGAAAGTTATGTCCAGTTCATTCTACTGTCTTATTCCCTCTTCCTTCCCCCACGTATGCGCCCCCCATCCAGTTAACTTCCCCTACCCCCACATTGTGATTCAGCAACCAAATATTAGAGAAAACATTTGGCCTTTCGGTTTTTTGGACTGGCTTATTTCACTTAGCTTGCCTCCGATTCCATTTACCAGCAAATGCCACGATTTTATTCTTTATGGCTGAGTAATATTCCATTGTGTAAGTGTACTACATTTTCTTTATCCATTTATCTGTTGAAGGGCACCTAGGTTGATTCCCTAGCTTAGCTATTGTGAATTGAGCTGCTATGAACATTGTTTTTTGAGATTGAGGGTCTCCAGAATGAGTCAGCCCCTAAACTGAGGGGTAGTAGAAAAGAGAAAAAAAAACAAAATTTCATGGAGTTTGTAAATAAAATATTTATGGAGCCTATAAATCAGAATTGCAAGACAGGGAACTGTTAGAAGCTTAGTTTATTATATGTAATAACTTGTGGGAATTTTTATGCAAATAACATCTTATTTTCTCTCTAGTAACTGGTATGAACCCTCTGTCTCCTTATTTAAATGTGGATCCACGATATCTTGTGCAGGTAAGATTAAAATTTTAGTGTTTGATGTTTTATCTTACACTTTAAAAAGTTCAATTATTTAATTCTAAGTTGAATTAATCCATGAACTTAGTACAGGTACTTAATTCTGCCATATACTGAGTCTCTAGTTTCCATTCTTTTTTTCCTCACAAACCCTAAGAACTTGGCTTGTATCTCTCCCTGAAACCATTTAACCCCCTTTAAAGGGAGTTAAACCAACAAGGAATGCACTCTGATAAAAGTAAGTTTTGCTTTTGAAGCTCACTTTGTAGTATCAGGATACTGGGCTAAATGTTAAGACTACAAACACTAGTGGTTGAATATCTCAGGAAAGCAAGGTTAATTTAATGTACTGAATATCAGTTTATGTTCTGTAACATATCAATATGTAATAAGGCAATAAAAATAAGAATATAAGACCACACCATTACCTCAGTAGATGCCAAAAGAGCATTTGATTAAATCCATCTCCCTTTCATGATTTTAACACACACACACACAGAACAATAGAGAATTCCTTCAACCTAATAAATGGCATCTACTCAATAGTGAAGGACTGACTATTTCCCCTTTAAGATCAGGAGTAATAAAAGCAATTTCTACTGACTTCACTACTGTTTAACATCCTGTAGCCAGAGCAGTTAGGCAAGAGAATGAAATGGCAGATTGAAAGAAGAGTGAAACACTTTGCAAATGATGTGATCTTATCTTTTAAAAATCAAATAAAGGTACAAAAAAAAAATAGGACTGGGGTTGTGGCTCAGCTGTAGAGCACTCAACTCCCATGTGTGAGACCCTGGGTTCGATCGTCAGCACCACATAAAAATAAATGAGTGAAATAAAGGTATTGTGTCCAACTACAAGTAAAAAATAAATATTAAAAAAAACTGTTACAATTAATAAGTGAATTCAGCAAAGTCTCAGAATATAAAATTAACATATAAAATCAGTTCTGCTTTCCATACAGTAGTAACAAATACTCCAAGTGTAAAATTACTTTATAAATGTAAAAGCTAAAGATATAAAACTCTTGAATGAAATCATGGTCATAAATAGTTGTGATTGGATTATACAGTAGTTCATTTGCTACCAAAAGCACAAGTAATAAATAAAAAGTTGATTAATTCAATTTAGTCAAAATTGATTTTTTTTTTAAAAGCTGGACCCAGTGACATGCCTATAATCCCAGCAATTTAAGCGACATGAAATAGGAGAATTTGATCTAGCCTTAGCAATTTAGCAAGATTCTGTCTCAAAAACACAAAACAAAAACAGAAACGAGGGGTTGTGGCTCAGTGGAAGAGCACTTGCCTAGTATGCGTGAGGCACTGGATTTGATTCTCAGCACTGCGTATCAATAAATAAAGGTCCACTGATAACTAAAAGAATATTTAAAAAAAAAAAAAAACCAGAAACGACTTGGTATGCACTGGGTTCAATCCCCAGTCCCACCAAAAAAAGAAAACAATTTTCTTTTTTTTTTTTTTTAAGGAAAGGGGAAAGAGCCAGGCATGGTAGTGCATGCCTGTATTCCCAGCAGCTCAGGAGTCTGAAGCAGAGGATCACAAGTTCAAGGCTAGAGACTTAACAACACAACATATTATGTTCTTTATGGAGTGATAAGTTGAAAACGTGTTCACACAAATTGTACATAAATGTTCATAGTAACCAAAAAGCAGAAACAAACAGTTTAGCTAGGCCCTAAACAACTTAGTGAGACCCTGTCTCAAAAAAAAAAAAAAAACATTGGTTGGGGGCTGGGAATGTGGTTGAATGGTAAAGCACCTCTGGGTTCATTCCCTAGTACCAAAATAAGAAAAAGAAAGGGGAAAGGTAGTCAAAGACTAGGAGTAAGTATTTGCAGATCATTTACCTGATGATGGACTTATAGTTAGAATGTTTAGTTTTAAAAATTTTTTAAAACATTAATGAAACAACAATCCAATTATAAATTCTAATTATAAATAGACATTTCTTCATGAAAGTGTATAGATGCCAAGTAATGACATGAAACTTCATTGTCACTAATTAGAGAAACTGAAATCACAAAACCACAGTAAAATACTACTTCAGGTCCACCAGGAGCTATAATGAAAAAGACAATAACAAATACTGGTAAGGATATGGAGAAATTGGACGTTCATACTTTGCTTGTGGGGATGTAAAATGATAAATCTGCTTTGGAAATAGTCTGGCAGTTTCTCAAAATGTTAAAAATAGAATTATCTTATGACCTGGCATTTCTACTCTTAGATATACACACAAGAGAATTGAAAACATCTTCACACAAATTGTACATAAATGTTCATAGTAGCCAAAAAGCAAAAACAAACCAAATGTCAATTAACAGGAGAAAGAATACACAAAATATGACATATCTGTGTAATGTAATATCATTTGGCAATTAAAACATGAATTATTGTTTCATGCTACAACATGGATGAACTTAAAATGCCTGCTAAATCAAAGAAAACCAGTTACAAAAGACCACTTAATATATGATTCCATTTATGTGAAATGTCAGAATAGGCAAACATATAGGCATGAAGAGTAGACTAGTAATGGCTTGCAATTGGGACTATGTGGGGAATGAAACTATTGAATTGTACATTAAATAAATGAGTAGTATAGTATATGAGTGATATGTCAGTAACTTAAATTTTTTTTTTTCCTATTCTAGGAATTGAACCCAAGGCTTTGAGCATGCTAAGCAAGTGCTCTACTGCTGAGCTATACCCTAGTCCTTAAAAAAAAAAAAAAAGTTTTTTAATAAGGACCTTGTGAGTTTAAAGCTTCATTGTTTTTGCAGAAAATTTATCATTTAAATTTATTAAATATTAATAAGTGGATTTTTTTTTAGAAGCTCCCATTTGTCAGTTTACTCAGAATTTCACAGAACATGTATTTTGCTTAAATGTTGACTTCAGAATTAAAGTGCTACTCTAGCTATAAATGCAATATTATTTTGATCTTACATTGCTGAGTAAGGTTAGACCAAAAAAAATTGTGTATTCAAAAACAAAATAGTGAATTTTGGGATGCTAGAGGGACTTCAGAATTGAAAATGTTTTTCTAAACCTTTTTGTCTTCATATTACATGTAACGATGGAAAACATAAATGTAAAGATGATACCTTAATAAAAATTACATTTTAAAAATATCTTTCTATGCTTTTAGAAAATTAAATATATCTTAAATAGTGCCCGTCAACTGACCATATAGTAGTTTTGGCATCAATTTGTATTGTGCTTTCTCTTGCTATTGCTTTTGTATAATCACTACTCTTAAATCATCTCTAAAATGTTTTTTTAAATTATGTTAATAAATCTTGTTCTCTGTTAGCCCATATGAATATCTGGTATTAAAAAAAAGGAGACTTTAAATAATTTCCAGTGTCCATAGTAGTATTCACGTGAAATTATAAAGATGACACATAATCTCAGCCTTCTGACTATTTTATCAGGTTCATTGATATCTGTTCTTAGATTCATTTGTCTTCTGTATT